ATGAGAAAAAAAACAAGGACAACTTATAGTCCAACATGTACTGTGAGGCAGAAAAGAAAAAAGACAAAACAAAAATGTCGAAAATGCAGAATTCCCAACACCAGAAAATCTCTTCACACAGATGAAGACAGCAATGTGCTGCAAGATGATCTCTGCTAGTCACAGAAATGGTCAGTGATGTAATTGCTCGAATTAAAACACCGATAAGGTAATTAAAATGGGAGAAAGTTCAAGGAGACAGAATAGAGGACACCGCATGAGCGAGGCTCAGCAAGAGGAATCATATGAGAGAAATTTTGCAGCATTGTACGACAACTGACAAACTTATAAAATGCATTCTGAAACTCAGACAAAGAATCATTTAGGGCCCATTATACAACATACAACAGATCAGCTCTTGAATGCACAATGCCAGGATAAAATTATCTATCAGTCAAAAATAAGGAATATTGGATGGATGAAGGAAATTTATCTAAGGTCTCAAACTGACCACACTGTGGATATGTCATCTACATATCACAAGCAAAATTAAATGAGAAGTAATGTATGCTGTAATAAGTCAGTCTCAAAGCATCACTAGTTATGCCAAATTATTGACAATAATCTTCACCCTTTAAAACGTAGTTAGAATCAATAAAACAAAATTGAGAGAACTAGCTAACGTTACTGATTACTTATTTTATTTTACTAATTATATTATTTGTTGAAGGTAAACATTTGCTGTATCCTGTTGTGGTTAATGCTTGCATTAAACATTGGAAATGTTTGTAATAGAGCATATTAATCTGATTTAATATCTGGCTGGGTTATTGGCTTTGTACATTGTGAAGCCTATGACCAGCAAAGGGATGGGGAGTTATTGTATCTGTCTTTATGAGATGATCTCAGTTCATACCAGATATTGTATTTTGTAGATAAATGTACCACTTACAGCATTCATAATATATATTAAAAATCACTTAACCATTTGGGAACACTTAAAGTATGCAGATTTAGGCACATTTCAATAACTATACATATTAATCACATCAATGTTCTCTGTGAATCATTATGAAAATTTTCTTTAAATACCTTTTATATTTACATTTTTGACATTTAGACAATTAGAATTTTGCCAAGAGATAGATAAGTCATTTCTTCCTATTAAAATGAATATGAACTACTGTTGGTTCGATTCCCAAGAAGGGCGAGACATGCAAGCAAGTCTCCTTACACCTACTTGTCCTTATTCCCACCAGGGAAAAAATGAAGTGATGGGTGATTGTCGATTGTTGAGTCTCACCCTCGGTCACGGTACAGTAGATGGGGCTGAGCTATGAAATGAGCTGAGGAAGGATAATTCCTCTCGTCTTGTAACTTAAAATGAGTGAATAAGTATGTTCAGTCGGAATTAACTAATTTATTAGTGTTGTCTTCCAATTATGTCCTTGAATTTGTATTGATAAAACCACTGGATAGCGAAACGTCTACAATAAAGATACCCAGATGTTGCACATGTGTCTAATTTTTCACGCTTTTATCCAGTCATTTTTTTCACTCGTTGTTTACATTTGTTTTAACTTTCTTAAGAAGTAAAGTTACTGGGCTCTGATGGAAACGTGTTGCAGCAGAAGTTGACATATTTCACTTGTAATGCTGACAGTCTCTCTGCTGATTTAATTTGTAGATTTCTGAATGATGCAATAAGTTATGCTCCGGAATCAGTGCAGCGACGACCTAGCATACTGAACGTGATAATTGGTAAAAAATAATGTGGCATTTTTTTAACATGGACCTCAAAAATAAGATATAGTATTTGTGGTAGTAAAGATAGTAGTAGTGGTTATATTAGTAGAAGTAGTGTAGTAGTGGTTATATTAGTAGAAGTAGTGTAGTAGTGGTTATATTAGTAGAATTAGTGTAGTAGTGGTTATATTAGTAGTAGTGGTTATATTAGTAGAAGTAGTGTAGTAGTGGTTATATTAGTAGTAGTGGTTATATTAGTAGAAGTAGTGTAGTATGGTTATATAGAGTAGTGTTAATAGTAGAAGTATGTAGTTGTTGATAGTAGTGTGGTATATAGTGAAATGTGAGTTATATAGATAGTGGTTGTTAGTAGAATAGTGTAGTAGTGTTATATTAGTATAGTGGTTTATTAGTAATAGTGTGTTAGTGGTTATATTAGTAGTTGGTTAATTAGTGAAGTAGGTAGTAGTGGTTTATAGTAGAATAGTGTGTAGTTATATAGTAGAATTAGTGTAGTATGGTTATATTAGTAGTAGTGGTTATATTAGTAGAGTAGGTTAGTGGTTTTTGTATAGTGGTTATTTAGTAGAATTAGTGAGTGTGGTTATATAGTAGTAGTGGTTTAGTAGAAGTAGTGTAGAGTGGTTTATTGATGGTGGTATTAGTGAAGTGTGTAGTAGTGGTATATTAGTAGTAGTGGTTATATTAGTAGATGTGTTAGTGGTTATTGTAGTAGGTGGTTATATTAGTAGAAGTAGTGTAGAATGGAAGTTGTAGTAGTAATAGTAGTCTTGATAGTAGTTGCAGTAATAATAGCTAGTAATAGTGGTGTTAGTGATGGTGGTGTTAGTGATAAAGGTGTTAGTAATAGTGGTGTTAGTGATGGTGGTGTTAGTGATAATGGTGTTAGTAATAGTGGTGTTAGTGATGGTGGTGTTAGTGATAGTGGTGTTAGTGATGGTGGTGTTAGTGATAGTGGTGTTAGTGATAGTGGTGAGTAAAGGGGTGTAGTGATGGGTGTTAGTGATGGTGGTGTTAGTGATGGTGGTGTTAGTAATAGTGGTGTTAGTGAGGTGGTGTTGTTAGTGTATGATGGAGTGTTAGTGATAGTGGTGTTAGTGATGTGGTGTTAGTAATAGTGGTTGTTAGTGTGGTGGTGTTAGTGATAGTGGTGTTAGTGATGGTGGTGTTAGTGATAGTGGTGTTAGTATGGTGGTGTTAGTGATAGTGGTGTTAGTATGGTGTGTTAGTGATAGTGGTGTTAGTGATGGTGGTGTTATATAGTGGTGTTAGTGATAGTGGTGTTAGTGATGGTGTGTGTTATTGATAGTGGTGTTAGTGATGATGGTGTTAGTGATAGTGTGTTAGTGATGTGGTGTTAGTGTAGTGGTGTTAGTGATAGTGGTGTTAGTGATGGTGGTGTTAGTGATAGTGGTGTTAGTGATGGTGGTGTTAGTGATAGTGGTGTTAGTAATAGTGGTGTTAGTGATAGTGGTGTTAGTAATAGTGGTGTTAGTGATAGTGGTGTTAGTGATGGTGGTGTTAGGTGTTGATAGTGGTGTTAGTGAGTGTAGTGGTGTTAGTGATAGTGGTGTTAATATAGCGGTGTTAGTGATAGTGGTGTTAGTGATAGTGGTGTTAGTGATAGTGGTGTTAGTAATAGCGGTGTTACTGATAGTGGTGTTACTGATAGTGCTGTTAGTGATAGTGGTGTTAGTAATAGCGGTGTTAGTGATAGTGGTGTTAGTGATAGTGCTGTTAGTGATAGTGGTGTTAGTAATAGGGGTGTTACTGATAGTGGTGTTACTGATAGTGGTGTTAGTAATAGCGGTGTTAGTGATAGTGGCGTTAGTAATAGTGCTAGTAATAGTAGTAATTGTGGCATATAAAATCCATACTCTTCTTGGTGACCTGGTTAAGAACCGGGCCCCGGGGGCGCTGACCTTTTTGGTTACGAACCGGGCCCCGGGGGCGCTGACCTTCCTGGTTAAGAACCCTGCCGCGGGGGCGCTGACCTTCCTGGCTAAGAACCGGGCCCCGGGGGCGCTGACCTTTTTGGTTAAGAACCGGGCCCCGGGGGCGCTGACCTTCCTGGTTAAGAACCCTGGCGGGGGCGCTGACCTTCCTGTTAAGAACCGGGCCCGGGGGCGCTGACCTTCCTGGTTAAGAACCCTGCCGCGGGGGCGCTGACCTTCCTGGTTAAGAACCGGGCCCCGGGGGCGCTGACCTTCCTGGTTAAGAACCGGGCCCCGGGGGCGCTGACCTTCCTGGTTAAGAACCCTGCCGCGGGGGCGCTGACCTTCCTGGTTAAGAACCGGGCCGCGGGGGCGCTGACCTTCCTGGTTAATGAACCTGGCCGCGGGGGGCGCTGACCTTCTGGTTAAGAACCGGGCCGCGGGGGCGCTGACCTTCCTGGTTAAGAACCCTGCCGCGGGGGCGCTGACCTTCCTGGTTATGAACCTGCCGCGGGGGCGCTGACCTTCCTGGTTAAGAACCCTGCCGCGGGGGCGCTGACCTTCCTGGTTATGAACCCTGCCGCGGTGGCGCTGGACCTTTTTCCCTTTTATAAACCTGGGCGGGGGCGCTGACCTTTCCAAAGAAACCTGCGCAGGTACTAAAATTTCCTGTATAACATGTTCCTAGTACATGTTTCAGCTCACCATGGTCATTTTCAAGAACTCTGTCAATCAAACACAGGAAGTAGAGGGGGGTGGGGGAGAGTTTTGTAGTTGTTCTCAAGAGATAACCTTGGAGTGTACAGAAAGTTTCACTGCTATCTGTCCTGTCTATGTACTCCATCTACTTTAAATGTCCAGATAGATAACATCACTTAGAACAGATTCAAGGTTTTTTCCAAGTGGTCTGTGGTGGCGACGAAAATACTTAAGTAAATATAACTAAATGGATAAATAAACAACGAAACAAAGCTCATTCGTGTATTAACATATTAATAATACAAGAAAGACATTGGGCTGTTGGTATAAATATATATGTAGTAACGAGAACTACCTAAGCTATGGTATGACATGTGGTGCTGACCCATGGCTGGCCTTCCACGCCTGAACATAGTTTTCTTGCCACACACACACACATGATTTACTTACATATAGTCATGGGGGAAAACATGTATTTTTAAATCAAATCTACTCTTAATATAGTAGTATTCTATACTATTATATTCAATATTTGATTTACATATACATTATGTTTATATTTATATATATATATATATATATATATATATATATATATATATATATATATATATACTGTATATATTTACATCTGGACTCTGGCTGGACGTGGGTTCGACTCCAGGCCAGCCCATGAGCAATCCATTTATTTAAACAGAGTCTATCTAAAAAATGGAACTAATTACTAAAATTATTTTAATTGCCTCATTGTTTCTTTGCTTAGTGTTAAAAATTACTACAGAAAATAATTTTTTTCAGAGTCTGAGAGAATAAATAAAATTTGTCTCTTTGCGATTATATATCTTAGTTATAGATAGAAATTTTAAAAATGCAGTATTATTAGCAATGATCATCCGATACTCTCAGAAAAGTAAATGAAAAGATAACATTAATAAAAGAACATGATCACTTCTCAGCCGTTATATTCCGGTAGCAGTAATGATCACTGAAGAACACTCATGAACTTCATCAGGACGCGGCTCCAAACGTCTTACTTCCTTCCAAAGCCAAGTCCACCAAATTTACCAAGTCCGCCGAGTCCACCGAGTCCACCAAACTTATTATATCCTCCCTTTCCACCATATCCTCCATAACCTCCTGCAACCAAATACGTTAGTCATGAGAACATATAATAAGACATTGTTTATCTTCATGTGAATAAGATATAATATTGCATTTGTCATACGATAAACATGAAGGACAAATTTACCGAATCCGCCCAGGGAACCATATCCTCCGTGACTTCCTGCAAGCAGAGAGGTGAATCATAAGAACAACCAGAGAACAGCCTTTTGCGTAAATGTGCATAAAATATATGTTATGTAGTGTCATACAAGGTAGTCGGGTGTTAGAGTCTTACCGTAGCTGTCGCTCAGCACGAAGGTGTGACCTTTCTCGCCGCCTGTGGAATAATGAAAGCAATATTACTTTCACGTTTATGTATTCCTTAGCAAATAATGTAGTGAAATGATGAACACATGAGGCACAATGCCGTAACTGGAGAAAAACATTAATAACTCGCACGTAGGAGAAGGAAACTTATGACGACGTTTCGGTCCGACTTGGACCGTTATTCACACTAGTTAATGGCCCAAGTCGGACCGAAACATCGTCATTTGTTTCTTTTTCTTATGTGCAGGAAATTTGTATAATGAAATTAAAAATGTAGGCAAATGTTACCAATATTCTATTCCGTTCAACAACGAGACCTTCAACGTCTGCTGAAAATTTTTCAGTTTAGGTCAATTATGTATTCTTGGTTTTATTTTCTCAAATGGGTTTCTTTGTGCTATTAATATTTTTTTTTTTAAATTTGTGTCTAGAGTGGAAAAAATATGTTATGCTTACCAAATCCTCCTTTGTATCCTCCACCAAAGCCGCCTAGACCACCATATGCCTTCCCGCCGCCTCCGTATCCTCCAAATCCACCACCAAGGCCTCCAAGTTTACCAAGGCCACCAAGGCCTCCAAGACCAAGCCCTCCAAGTTTACCAAGGCCTCCAAGGTGACCCAGTCCTCCAAGATGACCAAGTCCTCCCAAGGGGGAAATGCCCCCAATGAATCCTCCATAAGAAACACCAGCCGTCACGGCCAACATCATCACTGACAGGTAACGCTAATAAGAAAAAAAAAACGGTGTTAATAGCATTAAATACGATGCCATACGATATATTGTTCAACTGTTTTTTTCCAAACAGGTTCTCACTAAGTATATGCTCGTACCATGGCTGCAGGACTTGAGGGTTTGAGGAGCAGGACAATGTGATGGTTCAGGTTGGGTGTCCAGGACTTTATATAGGACAGGTGGCTTCTCCCGCCTGCAGTAACCTTCAGGACGTAGCACCCCGCCATGCCTGTGGTTTGAGTCAGTATCAAAAGTGGTAGGTAACATGTGAAGGGAAACAGTAATGGTAAATAAGAATATTTCGTGGTGCGTGAAGGCCAACTCACTTTGGGGCATCCGAATAATCATATATGACAGTCGAGATCTGGTCATGGGAATCTTTCGGTAATTTTAAACTTTTTCCAGTTATCGTGATAGATGAGTATGAAAAAAAAATGATCTTCCCGGTTATAATAACAATGATCTATTTTAAATAATTCAGTATTATGACGCGCATCGTTTCTGACGAACCATAAGTTAACTTTCACTGTAACTCTTAATTATATTCACAATGTATTGATCATATCTTCAGTAGACTATATTTAAATGAAGACAATATAATTACAGGTAACTATAATGAAAATATTATCACTAATATTTATACTAAATTCATTTATTTTTACACAGTTGCATACATTTACATAAATAAAGGCGACCAGGCCGGTGGTCTGGTGGCTAAAGCTCCCGCTTCATACACGGAGGGCCCGGGTTCGATTCCCGGCGGGTGGAAACATTTCGTACAAGTTTCTTACCCTGTTTCTGATTCACATAGCAGCAATAGGTTACCTGGGTGTTGTCGACTGATAGGGTGCATCCTGGGGGACAAGATTAAAGGACCCCAATTTTGGAAATAATTAGACGGTACTCGATGACGCACTGACTTTCTTGGGTTATCCTGGGTGGCTAACCCTCCGGGGTTAAAAATCCGAACGAAATCTTATCTTACTTTGCTACCATTACAATACACAATATGCAGAAAAAATCTGTGGAAGAGTTAACTGGAGCTCAGACATTTCTTTTATATTTCTTGTATTTTTTTTTCATCTTTTTACTCTCTTCCTTTAAGAAACAGCACACTGTGTATCATTTCTAGATCAATTCCGTCTTGCTAGTGCAGTATAGAAGAGACATTCGTTGTGCTGTGCCTGTGGCTTCAGCTGCGGCTCTAAAAGTCTTAAGTCTGCCAGAAATGCACAACATGCCAGTGACTTTCTTCTATGCTTAACAGTATTTTATTACATTTAAATTACATTTTGTATACTGCAGAAAAGAAATAAAATTGAACTGTGTTAACATCTCAGTTCAGCGCCTAAAAGATTTTGATTTAACATTAGAAAAGTGTAAAGGCTTGTTTCCCTATAGTTGCCATGTATACAGTATAGTTGCCATGTATACAGTATAGTTGCCATGTATACAGTATAGTTGCCATGTATACAGTATAGTTGCCATGTATACAGTATAGTTGCCATGTATACAGTATAGAGTAATGTATATGTAGTAAATGGTACAGTAGTCATGCAGTAACAGTTCTTCGAACATATTCTTAATGTTTTTTTTACAAATGTTTATATGCATAAGATAAAAGCAATGAATTTCAATTTGTTATCTAGGTGGTAGGACTAAAAATTTACATTTGTGTTTATATATAAGTGAGGAATAAGAGAAAGCTGCCTTGAATCATGTCGTGGGGAATATCAGTTTTTAAAAGAGTACATGAAGTAATGTTTCAATGTAAACAGAGTTTCTATAGTGTACAGTGACTCAGACGTCCCGTTGGTCAATGTTGCTCCACCTGCATATTCATTCTTCTCGAGTTTACCTGGAGAGAGTTCCGGGGGTCAACGCCCCAGCGGCCCGGTCTGTGGCCAGGCCTCCTTAGGTCAGTGTCCCAGGATGCGACCCACACCAGTCGACTAACACCCAGGTACCCATTTTACTGATGGGGAACATAGACAACAGGTGGAAAGAAACACGTCCGGAATCGAACCCAGGCCCTCACCGTGTGAAGCGAGAGCGTTAACCACCAGGCCACCAGAGCCCCTTCTTCTCGAGTAATTTGTGAATTATGTTTTTTTTTGGAGACCTGAATCAATGTCGGCAGATATTTAAGATTTGTGTGCTAGATTGTCTTGTAATTTAACGATTTGTTTAAATTTTTAGTTTTTTTTTTTCTATTGGCAGCTTCATCTGGTTCTATAATTGTTATTTCAGAAAGATCCTATTACAGAAGGCAGATTACAACCATCATGTTGCCACTGTAGGCTGAGTACACTGCATCATGCTGTCACTTTAGGCTGGATACACAACATATGTTGCCACTATGGGTTGTGCACGTAGAATCATATTGCCACTATAGGCTGAGTACAAACCATCATGCTGTTACTGCAGAATGAGTACACAACATTATACTGTTGCTTTAAGCAGAGAACACACACACACACACACACACACACACATACAACAGGCCTAGTGTCTAATCGACATGTGCCTAGGACAAAATGGTAACTAACACACACACACACACACACACACACACACACACACACACACACACACACACACACACACACACACACACACACACACACACACACACACACACACAACACACACACACACACACACACACACACGTCAAGAACGTCAAACACGTCAAGAAATTAGAGAAAGTGCAAAGGTTTGCAACAAGGCTAGTTCCAGAGCTTAGGGGAATGTCCTATGAAGAAAGGTTAAGGGAAAACGGTCTGACAACACTGGAGGACAGGAGGGTCAGGGGAGACATGATAACGACATACAAAATACTGCGTGGAATAGGCAAGGTGGACAGAGACAGGATGTTCCAGAGATGGGACACAAAAACAAGGGGTCACAATTGGAAGTTGAAGACTCAGTTGAGTCAAAGGGATGTTAGGAAGTATTTCTTCAGTCATAGCGTAGTTAGGAAGTGGAATAGTCTGGCAAGTGATGCAGTGGAGGCAGGAACTATACATAGTTTTAAGACGAGGTATGATAAAGCTCATGGAGCAGGGGGAGAGAGGACCTAGTAGCGGTCGGTGAAGAGGCGGGGCCAGGAGCTGAGTCTCGACCCCTGCAACCACAATTAGGTGAGTACAATTAGGTGAGTACACACACACACACACACACACACACACACACACATTTGCTGTTACAAGGCACAGATCACTCTTTGATGTTCCTCGTGTCCATCTCACACTATGCAAAAACTCAATGCACATAAAAGGCCCTAAAATCTGGAATTCATTACCTGTGAATATAAAAGAAACACTGTCTGTTTATAAATTCAAGTCTCTTCTCAAAAATCACTTACTCACCCACAACTAAATAAATACTGAATAATTGCATCTCATAAATTGTATCTCATATATGTATCTCATTATTGTATCTCATAAATGTCAAC